TCCAGGAAAAATAGAATCAGGGACATAGAAAGGGAATGGACTGACTATTCTTGGGGGGAAAGGGGTGTGGGAGATGCAGGAAGAGATTGGACAAAAATCGTGCACCTATGGATGAGGACAGTGGGTGGGGAGTGAGGGCGGGGGGTGGGGCGGGAACTGGGAGGAGGGGAGTTATGGGGGGAAAAAAGAGGAACAAATGTAATAATCTGAACAATAAAGATTTAAATTAAAAAAAAAAAGTTGTTCATTCCAAAAAGATTTCCCAGTTCAGCTAATAACCTCCTGACTGCAGCAACACAGAGGGCATGTAGGAGGGCAAAGCCAGTGTGAGTCTGCAAGTTCAGTGGTTGCAGGGAAAATGGCTAAGCTGGAAATAGAAATGGAGGAATGAATGCAAATAAATACAAAAACAGAAGTTTTCACCTCCTCATCTCATACCCGTTTAGTGCCACCAGCCAGTTACCAGCAGCATTGTGAAACTGAAATCCAATAGAGTTCAAGACTATGGTGGAAAGTTTAAGAAACAAACTGTCAGGAAGGCTTCTCTGAGAGTTCACGGGGGTCAGAAAAGATGACCCTTCCATCCCTCGGGCAGTGTTTCATCAAGGCAGCACGACTGGCACATGGGGTGGAACAACCTCCCTGGGCAGGAAGGACCGAGCTGCTCACAGCAGGACAGCTGGCTCCCGGACGCTCCCCTGTTAAATGCCAGCATCCTGCTGTCACTGGACAACCAGCAGCACTCACAGATTTCCAAAAGCCCCCGGGGAATAATCCCCTCAGCTTACTGGCCCAGATACAGAGAGCCCCTTACAATTTTTCTCCAAACTGTAAGCAAAAGCTTAACAGACCTACCACATTCAGTTATCCTAAAGTTACAGTAAACTAATAGCTAAATAAACTGATGTCAAACAGCAGTGTCAAATCAAGGGCCACTTCCAATCCCAGCTCTGGTATCCTCTCTCCTGGTAGCCTGGCCTCAGTGCCTCAGAAGGATGTACGGCTGGTGTTAGGTCTCAAAAGGTTGGCCCGGAGCAGCTTACTCTCAAGAGGAAGACACTGCTTACAGTATGGACTCCCTTTTGATGTTAGAGAATTGAACATCATACCATTCTGGTGCAGAGCCAGATACACAACTACGCTGGCACTCAGCTCTCCGGTGTGGAAACTGCCTGTCACTCAACTCCACTCCTACCCACTCCATTCCTACTGCGCTCGGTTCTCAAAACCAAAGCTTAAAATGGTTTCTGCTGTCTTTCAGCCAGCCTGCAGATCCATACTTGGCCTCCCTTGGGGATTCTCTGTCAATCTGCTGACAGGCAACAGTCAATCAGGGTCATTAACCAGTTTGCCAAGTTTGCAGGAACAAAGGTGGCATCAGTAAATGGAGCCGCCCATTCAATCTAAGATGTAATGGTTTGGACACCTGAACAAACACCTAGCATGTCGTTACAATGCAACAGCAAGGCCAGATCAGACCTGCCTGGACTTTGGCTTTCTAATAAATACTTTCATCTACCAAGGCACTAAATGAGGTCCATGGGCCCCAGGCTGGGCCTAACTTATAAGCGTTGAGAGCTGGCACTGAAATGGCGACAGGCATAGGATGGGATTTTGCAAGAATTGGCTGTTTATCACCCATTTAACAAATATGTACCTGAACAATCCTGCCATGTAAGATCTTGTCCAGCCAAAGGTCAAAAGAAGATACCACTCAGGGCAGTGTTCAAACCAAGAACAGACAAATATTTACAATATTACTGCAGAAATTCACAACAGGTTCTCTCAAGCGGTTTCTTCTTTTCACTGCTCTGCTTATTCATCTTTTATCAGGATTTAACCCCTACAAAATACTCTAACTATGGTCTTATGGAGAATGCTGGATGGGGCTGGAGCCCTGGATTTCTCAGCAATTACCCTGTGACTTTTGAACATGCGAGTACCTGCACTCCATTTCCTCTTTGAAACATAACACCCACTTTGCTCGTCCCACAGGACCATTAGGGCTAAAAAACACAGCATACACGTCAGCGCTCTGTAAACTCTAAGGCAGCATTTCCCCAACAGGTGACAAGCAAACTCTGTTCTGCAAGATGAAAAAGAATCTGAGTTCAAAACATAACTGAGTGCTGGTTTAGGCCAAGGGAAATAGGAAGGTGTCTCTCTTGCAGGACTCCTCCAGATCCCATGTGGTTGCTGTTTCCCATCTTCTCTAAGGATGTTGGAGGCTCAGACTCCTCAGTCCAGAGTCTCTTCCTCTAATGGGGTGAGCTGCAGTCATAACAGGTTCTTCCTGACAGTCTCTACTCTGGGAAATCTCAGTCTCCTGGTTTGTCTCCTGCTTTTCTTTACTTCCTCTCCTTTCCCTGGCCCTCTATTCTGGAGGTTCAGTACTCAGCCCTCCATAGATGTTGTCTCCATGAGTGAGATCATCCAGTCCTGAGCTTTTAAAAAACAGGTTCCATCCATCAAGACAGAATTCCTTCATATAAAAGGGAGCATGCTTAGACCTCTAGGCACCTCCAAGGGAACATTTCTGTACAAAAGGAACCTAACTTCAGTCATGTAGGACCTTAATTGCAATGGGATTCCAAATTCCTACCAAAATAACCAATAAGCCTGCCCTTTGCAACCATGAGGCTGACAGAATAGTTTTAAGTTATTTCAAGCATGGCAATGCTCAAAGGGGGCATGGATAAATATCCCAGGGGCTTTCAAATTCTTTTTAGTCTATGTATAATAAATGCCCAAGAATGACTGGACACAAGCCAAAGTTTGATGTTTGGGGCAGACTTGGCCAAAGAAGATTCACCAATAATTTCTCAGATGCTCCTGACCCTTCCTAAAATTCCAATTCTCTCCTCAAAGTTATTTGGTTCAGGCAATTTCTTCCAAGACTTTTTATTTTGCTGATGAAATAGAACCTAAAGTTTGGGTCACAAGTTGCACCTATGGTTTAGTCTAGCACCTCTGACCACAAGAGAAGCAGCCCCACCATCAGCATCTTAAAAGCATTCTCCTAAAGAATACCAATGCCTAAGGGTGGGCTGGCAATTCTCCCTTTGTGTAATGCAAATGCACATTCCAACCAATCACTATATATCCTATCTAATAATACACAAACATGGTAATTGATCATACCTTCGCTACGCCTCCCATTGGCTAATCAGCGTGGTATGCAAATTAACCACCAACAAAGATGGCAGTTAATTTGCATACTGCAGGCAGGGCGGGTCAGTGCCATCCCACCTGCTCTGCTGCCATCCAGGCCTGCTATTTGCCACCCGGGGCAGTGGGGCAGGACAGCGTCATCCCGCCTGCCCTGCCGCCATCCGGGCCTGCTATCTGCGACCTGGGGTTGCCGGGTGGGGCAGCAGCAATCGGCTGGCCTGCCTGGGCGTCCCTTTGCGACCCAACCTAGGGCAGCGGGGCGGGACAGCGTGGCTCCTCTGTCACCCCAGCTTCCTCATCACAGCTCCTTTGGGGGCCTAAGCCTTTAGTTGGACATCCCCAGAGGGCTCCCTGGCTGCCAGAAGGATATCTGACTGCAAGCTCAGACCTGATCCACCTGGAGTGTGGGCCTAAGTAGACAGGTGGACATCCCCCAGGGGTCCTGGACTGCAAATGGGCGCAGGCCAGGCTGACGGACCCCACCCCTGAGAGTGCACAAATTTTTGTGCACTGGGCCTCTAGTATATATAAAAGCCTAAGTGACCTTTCGACTGGTAGATAGAATGTGTACTGACCACCAGGGGGCAGACACTCAACACACAGGCATGGAAACATGGAACAGACTGATGAATCTCAGGGAAGGGGGGAAGCGGGAGAGTGGGAGAGTGGGAAGAAATTAACCAAAGATCTTACATGCATACTAGAGGCCCAGTGCACAAATTCGTGTGCCAGTGGGGTCCCTCGGACTGGCCTGCAGGGACCGGGCCGAAACCGGCAGTCTGACATCCCCTGAGGGGTCCTGGATTGCAAGAGGCCGCAGGCCAGGCTGAGGGACCCCACAGGCATGAATCCATGCACTGGGCCTCTAGTGTATTCATAATCAGAAAGAAAGTAGTTATTTTTAAAAAGGAAACATTTTCTCCATAAATTATCATAAAATCTTGACTATACAACAGTGTTGCTTTTTTACAAATCAAAAAAGTGTCAGTGTCTTCAATCACCTCAGCTTTGCCTGCTTGTCCAATCCCACCACTTTCCGCACCACCTGCTGGCAGAAGCCGTAGCACATGAAGAGGACAGAGTTCTCCGCGATGTTGGCGATGAGCGCTGGGCTGGTCCCCTTGTAGAAACCCCGGAAGCCCACCTGTGAGTAGGTCTTTAGGCAGCAGTCAGTGAGGCCCCTGTACAGGTCAGGGAACGTCTGCATCTTCACTTTCATCGTGTCGAAGGGCTGCCCAGTCAGCACACATGCTGTGCCCCCTGCAAACAGGACAGAAGTCTTCTGTAGCACAAGTCTATGGCTACGTTTTAGAGTGAAGACTCAATCACCCATGGAAACGAGGGGCAGGCAGCCTACCCCAGCACTGACTCCTGATTCAGCTCATTTAGACCTCTTGCTCCCCCAAACCTTCTCACCCAGTCCAATAAACAACATGTGTGCCAGGCCCCCAGCTCCTGCCCTGAAAGAGCTCACATGGTAGAGACACTGATGTGGACTCAAAAGTCCAAAGCCACTGATACAAAGGTGTGGCATGTGTTAGCAGCATCAGCAATGGGGTCAGAGGGATCTGGGCTTGAAGCCTGGCTCTGCTGTGAGATCCCGAACAAGTGAGACAAGTGATGTAACTTCCCAGCCTCAATTCCTAGCAGGGTTAGTGTAAGGATCGAATATAACAATGGATGAGAAGGCTTAACATATGGTGGCTACATAACAAGTGGTTAATAAATAGCAGTTGCACCCTGGCCGGTGTGGCTCAATTGGTTGGAGCATCGTCCTGTGTGTGCACCAAAGGTTTGTAGGTTCAGTTCCCAGTCAGGATGCATGCAGGAGGCAAACGACTGATGTTTCTCGTTCCCTCTCTCTTTAAAATCAGTTTTTAAAAAGATATATCCTCAGGAGATAATTTTTTTTAAAAAGCAGTTGCTGTGTGTGAGTGAATGTGTGTGTGTGTGTGCACGTGTGCATATGTGTGTGCTATGCAGGTAGCCATATAAAAGGAAGGGGAGAGAAGTCTGGAAAGAGTTAATCACTTTTCTTGCCTAATGCCTAGTGCTGGTGACTACTAGAGAAATAATAAAGGAATAGGCAACAGATAAAGAAAAGAGAGTGGCTAATTAATCCCTGAAAAGTTAAGTATCTGAGCCTACAAGAAAGTCTCTATTTGAACTCTATCAATACATGATTTGTATTCAGATAGGCAATGAACTAAAATGTACATTTGCTTAGCAAAAATCATATATTTATTTGATTTTATACAGTAAGAGTATTAAATACAGAAAATCCAAAGATCACTTCAAGAAAAATTCTGAACGTAAGGAAAAGAAAGACCTAAAATGACCCTATTATATCCCCAAATCCTGAATTGAATCTGCATTTTGGGAACTGCCACTGGCTAATGTTTCTACTTTCCCTTGGGCCTGCAAGGCCACCTTATCTCAGTTGTCTCATGCTTGTGTTATAAAACATAACCACTGATAAGGTTATTAAAGCCTAATCAAAACTGAAGAGAAGAATTTCATAAATTATTTAAGAAACAAACTCAGAGACACAGACAACGGTACAAAGGTTTACAAGAGGGAAGGTGGGGGGAGGATGAAGAGGATACAGGAGGTCAAATATATGGTGATGGCGGGAGACTATACTATAGGGTGGTGGTGGTGAGTACACAATGCAATATACAGATGATGTCTTATAGAATCGTACACCTGAAACCTATATAATGTTATTAACCAATGTCACCCCAATACATTTTGTTTTTAGTTTAAGAAATGCAATTTCATAATTTTAACATTATGCATAGTTATTCCAACTCAGTTGTAGAAAGTAGAGATTGTGGAGGGACTGCTAAGAATAGCTCCCAATTAATTACTGGGAAATAAACAGGCATTTCCAAAGAATGTGAAAACTGTTTGATCTCTTCTCTTAAGCAATCACAAGTATGATCTTTGTGGCTCTGTCACTACTGATTGCTTCTTTTAGGAGAGTAGTAATACATTTCTGTCTTATCTAATTATCCCTAATTCTGAATTACAATTTAATAAAACATCACTATTATTAGAGTTATTCTCTCCTAGGTACTAATGGGCCAAAATAAAATAAGATCCTAATTATCTCACAATAATTTAATTATTCCAAAAGATGAGGTGAATGTCAGAATTTTTAAACTTGGTACATAATTTAGATGACTTAGATGCAGATAAACTGAATAAAGCATTTAATTCAGAGCATTAATGTTTTAACTGGAAGTTTTCCATAGTCTTACAATTATCCTGAATGGTCCAGACATCATAGGTTACTAGACTAGTAATATGCATTTGTTGCATATCTGTAACAGTTACATTTCTAACAGGAAAAAGGTAGGAGCCTAATGAATTTTCAAATGCTAGCTATAATGCTCTCCTTTCATCCATGAAGGTAAGTTAATTCCGCAGGTAATTTACCACACACAAATGATACTGGCGAGGCACTCATCATGTCCATCAAGTGGGTGACCACTATTCTGAACACCAGCACCAACCAATGGGGCCAGGTCCTCAGATACCTACCAAGTCAATGAATATGAATAATTTACAGGAACTAAACATTTCTCCGTGTGCTTAGCCCTCAGACCTCTGATCATCTCATCCTCCTTGAACACATGGAAATAGCCTCTGCATTCTCTTGTAAGTATCACAATGGGTCCTGCATTTTATTCTGCAAGAGGCACTCAAACCGTCTTGTACTCTATGCTTTCCTAAGGTTGCTATTGGTGTATTTTCAGTCCTTGATGTAGTTGAGTCAGCAAACATCAAGGTGCTGAGGAAGTCTATCAGGCACAGACAGTGTCACAGTGAAGGACAGCTCACAGGGAGGGCAGAGGTGAGAAGCAGAATGACTTGGTGCACCCACAAAGAGGTGAGAACCGCAACCCCCTCTGGAGGCAGTCAATAAATGTTCAGTTTAACAATACAGAGAGCTGTATCACTGTCAAAGAATTCCCATTTAAAAATACTGGCATTTGAGAGGATAAACTTCAAAGACCTAAAGTGCCATATCCCTCAACTGTGCTGGTTGAACAAGAATGCTGCATCAGAGCAGCGGAGCGGGGTGCATAACCTCAGAGTTCTTCAACTAGTCCAGCGCTGTCACAGTTTCCCCCTGTGAGGTTACACTGCTGAGATCCACGCTGCCTCATTTCAATAATGCAGTTACTTATCTTCTTCAACTCCTTCCGCATTCTAGCTGCCGGGGCTCTCGATCCTCCCCGAGACTCCTACAGTAGCTGCAGACAGTCAGTGACAGCTTCCCGTCAGATAAGCTGCACTAAAAATCTGCTTGGTGGGGAGGTTTGCTTAAAAGAAAAAGGAGAGATACAGAAGAACCTGTGTGTGTTACACCCTCACCGCGGCTCGTTCTTACATGCTAATCACTTCCATGGGGCTGTGTCCACAAAACACGCAGGTCCCTCTGCTCCTGGCCAGCAATAAAAACCCCAACACCCGACAGTTTCCCTCTGCAGAGAGCTGGGGCAGTGAAGGCTCCAAACTAACCCCACCTCCAGGAGTGCTATTGGCCCATTACAAACTATTAAAACAAAGAGGACAACAGAACTAGACAAGGAACCAAGCAGCCAGGGTCCTAGCCTTGTCTGTGCACCATCAAGCTGTGCAAGCTTGAACAAAGCCATCTGGGCCCCTTTTCTATGTTTAGAATGAGCATTAGAGCCAATGGTCTCTAAAGGCCCGACTAGCACCATCACTTGAAGAGTGAGACCCTCCAATATGGAATGGCTGCTTCCCCTTTGCATTCCACATACAGGGAGCTCTTAGGTCACTGCCAGGAACCTCCTCTGCTCAGTGCTCACAAGTCCCTCACCAGGTTGAAAACATAGACCCCTGAAGAGAAGCCTGTTGTTCTTGGAAGTTAAATGACCCAGAGCAGTGCTGTATCAGAGAAGGGTGACCCTGTGTTTCCAGGGCAGGAAGAAACACCTGCTCTCAGTTTTCAGGAAAAGTTAATGTGTAGGATCCCCTACATGTTGTCACCAGCAAATGCTTTACACACCAGACTCCCAACAATACAGTTGCAATTTACAGCTTTAAAATTCACTGTAAATTATAAATGTGGCATACAAATGCCTTTCTTGGAAAAGGTAAGCTCTTCAACTCTATCACAACAGATTTGACATCTTTGATAGAGTGACTGAAGGACATTAAATTCCAAAAGCTGAGAATCTCTCGTGTGGTTAAATATCCACCTATTGCAGAGACCAAATGGTTCCACTGTTTTGTGTCAGTGTCCAAATGTGGCATGGACAGGCAGGGCACGAGGTTTGAGGGGCTGCAGTTGGATTGCACAGCAGGGTGAGGGGCTGACCCAAAGTCACACAGCAGGCAAAAGTTTCCCCAGCTCCTGGGTGGGGACACTCCCTGTGGTCTCTAACCTGGGAGCTGGTGCCCTTACCCTGCACTTATCAGTGTCTGCAGTGGGCTGTTTCTAGCCTTCCTCATTAGCTCACCTTGGCCGACCTTTGGTTCATGGGAAAATACTTTGTTCTTCTCTGAAATGCAATTTCTTTTTTACAATGAAGCGAACGACAGGATGAGAGTAGGTGACCATGTGGATCTGTTGAGCCACAAAGCCCCACTGGATAATAGGACAGTGGGCAGCCCAACCCTCTAGCCCAGGGGTCCTCAAACTTTTTAAACAGGGGGCCAATTCACTGTCCCTCAGACCGTTGGAGGGCCGGACTATAGTTTTAAAAAAAACTATGAACAAATTCCTATGCACACTGCACATATCTTATTTTGAAATAAAAAAACAAAACGGGAACAAATACAATATTTGTATTTGCATGTGGCCCGCGGGCCGTAGTTTGAGGACCCCTGCTCTAGCCTCTCCATTCTTCATCGGAGCTGCAACCCATTATAAGAATTGGTGTAAGAGGCAAGGATAAACCAAGGTTTTCATCTGGGAAGTCTGAGCATTAGAGTGCTCCCCCAGGCCTAACATAACACAGGAATCTGGAGGACAAGTTACCAGCCATCCACTTCCCATTCCGTCCTTTGCATCAGGCTGAGCCAAGGTGACCTTTGAAAAGAATAGCCTGTGTGTTAGAAGCTGTGCCGGGGAGTACTTACTTGTACCCCATGGGGCCACTGTCTGCACTGGGGCTCAGGCCCAGGTCCAGCCCACCATTCCCCAGCAACTCCTAGGGCCTCACCTTACCTTCAGGGCTTTAAGATACAGTGAATGTCAGTCTCCTTTACCAAAGGTATTTCTAAAGGGTGTCCTCCTTTCCTTCCCTGGCAGTAGTAAGGACAGTAACTGGGATTCCCCGGAGACATGGCTGGGTGTTATTTTTACACTGCAAGGGCTCTGAAGACTGCTAGGCTTGGAGTGAATCCCAAGTAACCTGCACATTCAGCCAGGGACAAAGAACAGGGACTTCAGCTTGAAGGTGCAATGTTTTCCAGCTGTAAACCGGACACCTTCCCACCCTGCACCTTGACTCATACTTTGTTAATCCTCACCCAATGATATTTTTCCCATTGGTTTTTAGAGAGAGTGGAAGGGAGCGGAGGGAGTGGAGGTTGAGGAGGAAAGGAGAGGAGGGGAAGAGAGGGGGAGAGGAGAGGAAGAAGGGGAGAGGGGAAAGAGAAACATCAATGTAGTAAGAGAGATACATCAATTGGCTGCCTCTGGCACACACCTCAACTGGGAGTGGGGATCAAACTTGCAACCCAGATACGTACCCTTGACTGGGAATCGAACCAGTGACCCTTCGGTGCATGGGCTAGCGATCTAACCACTGACCTACACTACTCAGGGCCTGACTCATACAGTTTTAATATAATGGGAACTAGTTTACCTTCTGCTGTGCTCAGAACTCAATATTACACTTCCATTAAATGAATTCATTCTGAGTTAAACCATATTGGTTTTGGGGTGACAAAGTAATATTTTCACGATGCTTTCTCTGGATCTCACTTATAGAAAGTACTTGAGGAGGAGAGGATGGCGTTTTCTCTGGGATTACCTGCGGCCCCTGCTGTGAGGTCAATGGCAGCTTGGATGGCAGGATTGGACTTCATGCTTGCCCACTCCTCTGCCAGGCTCCGGAGAAGGCAACTCTCTGAGGCTTACAATGGGCACCTCATATCCCTGGGAGGAGGCAAGAGTTCACCATCAGACAGGCCTTTGCAGCCTCCCTTCCTCTAAACCTGCTGCCTGGTTACTGGACCTGAACTTCTGGGAGCGGGGAAATCAGCTCCAAAGGAAGTGAGCTCAAGATGTCAGTGCTGTTTAGTGACTGGCCTCCCTTTTTACCTGCCCACCACTTCCTCACAAAAAGCTCACAGATCAAAAACCGTCCTTGGGTTATCAATGTTACAGACCTGGTGAGGGGCACTTCAATCCCACCATTCTGAAACCCTTAGAAACAAATGCCAAATAAGTGAGTTAGCCACTGACGTCCTAAGTCACATCAAATAAGTTTTGTAGAGACTTAAGTTGAACCATCACTCCGCTAGGCTCAGTTCTACATTCAGACAGCAGCCTGTGCTAGGTCCCTTAGAGAAGGTCACAAAACAGCTGGGCTGGGGAAAAAACAACAGGTTAAGAGCTGTGCCAGTGACACATGCCAAAGTCTGAATGCCTGTCTACTCTGCCACCAACAGGATGGCGCCTTGGACCCCTAAAGCTGGGGGTCCCCATCTATACAAGGCAAATAATAAAAGTATTATTGTTGTAATACAAAGGCAATCACAAAGAGCCACGTGGGACAGATAATGAACTGTGACCATGCATCAGTTCTTAGAACCAGCAAAACACAGCACTGAACATCAATTATCATAATCACAGTCCCCACCAGTGCTTCTCAACCATGTGTGCACACAAATCACCTGGGGACCTTGTTGAACTGCAGATTTTGATCGACAGGCCTCAGGTGAGACCAGAAATGCTGCCAGCCCTGATAATGCCTGACCACCAACCACACTTTGAGAACACCTGCTCCATTGTGTCCCAAACATGTTTGACAAGAACCACTTCTGGGGCACCTGTTAAATATTCAAATAACAGGCCTCTCTCCTGGAAATCTTGATTCTGTGTAAAAACCAGAGCTTACTCCTCTACCTTTAGACAAAATTCAACTATTGCTGAGGTACTCTACTTAATATAGAGTACAAAAAGCAATGGTGGCTCATTAACATAGAATATCCAAATAACCAATTTAGCAACCAACTCTATGATTTTCAAACTATGTCATGACTTCTCTAACAAGGAACAGTTTTTATCCTCATTACACTGAAGACCTGTGGGATCCATCAGGCCACCATTCAGGAGGGGCACTGAGGGGTGGGCTGGATCAGTGATGAACACCATCTCCTAAAGGTCAGAAGAAAATAATTTTAACCACTTGAAGAAGGTTGCCAATAACCACAGACCAAGAATCTAACGTTTTTTTACAAAAAAATTTAAAACCAGCAACAATAAAATCACAGTACTTAAAACAAATGGCAATGATGTAATGTTACTGACAGGCCTGGAGAGGCAGTACCAATGGTTGATAAGGTGGTGGCCATCCAGTTTCTGGAGAAGGATGTCAAGATCATAATCGAATCTCCCCCCTTTCCAGATGGAAAATTGAGGCCAGAGGAAGATGAACTGTGAACGTGCATCAAGGAGTCACACATAGGGGCTGGGCGGAGGGAGGAAAAGGGGTGGGGGGCATTGGAGACATCTGCAATACTATCAACAGTTAAAAAAAAATTTTTTTTTAAAGGAGTCACACAAACAGGGCACATCCAATGTGGCCTCTCAGTGTCTTCATTCCTTTTGGAATGGACATTTCTTTCTTAGGAGGAAAAGAAAGGCACACGGAATTAAACGATGCCATCACTGTGGATTCAGCCCCCTTAGGTAAGCCGAACTTATTAAACACGTCAAATCCTACAAATAACTACTTGTAGAATTATTAGGATAGTAAACAGTGATGGGAACATTAAGGCAGAAAGTGTGGGCAATTGGTTCATATTATGAGTGGCTTTGGCTTGAAGGAGACATAGGGCTTGCAAGACTGATCAGCGTGAGTTAAACTGATTGATAAGCCTCAGTACCATCTGAAATATAAAAACTGAACCCTTTCAGCGTCCCTTTTCCCCCCTTTAAAACGACACCAGGGTCGGACTTCAGGACAGACAACAGCGCTGGTCATACCTCTTAACTGATTCCTAAGGAAATTAATTTCTCTAACGGGAGAACCTAGAGGCCGCATTCGACGCGCAAGTTCCAGCTAAACCTGCACAGCAGGCTGCCGCCG